AGAATTGGTCGTGTCTCTTGTGGCTTGTTGGTGTTTGTGTATCCATACTGTCAGTTTTCTTCTGGTTTGGCGTGTGTAGTGTTTCTCACAGTCCTTGCATGGTATTTTGTATATTACACCGGTTTTGCTGGTTTTGGGTATGGGATCTTTTACATTCATCAGTAGCTGTTGTGGGGTGGTTGTCGGATTGTGGGCTACTCTGATACCTAGGTGTCCGAGTAGTCTTGTGGTCATCTCAGAAATGTCCCTGATGTATGGCAGGGTGATTAGTGAGTCTGGTCGTGTTGTGTCATCCCGTTGTGGTCTGTCTCGGAGGTAACGGCGGATTGTCCTTTTCAGGTATCCATTCCTTTTGAAGACTCCGTATAGGTGCTCCTGTTCTGCTCTGTGACGTTCTGGGTTGCTGCAGTGTGTTGTAGTTTATTTAAGTAGTGTCCTGGCAGTTACCGAGCAGGGTGACAAAACGTTTGCACCAAACCCAACAGCTCGGCGAGCAAGTCTACAACCTCATCCACAACCTGAACTACAAATCTTCTCAAAAAACATTAAACAATTCTATTCTGTCCCAATCCATTGCTCATGGTTTTCGCCATATCATTGCCTCAGAATCTCCATGGTTCGAACAAATTAAACCAAGCGTTCCAGGATGTCTTTGCATTTGTAACTGCAACTGACTGGTGCACCTAGAGATATACCGTCCTCCTTAAATACGTCTCTGACCACACTGGCCCCAAGAACAGCAGGCTGCATACCTCAGATTGCAGCATTATCCAACACACTCTCTCCAACCCGATCACACACTTGCACTTTCTCTCCAGCTGCTTCAGAATGCTCGCTCCGCGCTCCTCCTGCAAGAAACGGGATATGCCGGGCTCCCGAAGGGTCACCGTCCTGGAGCAGATGTTGGAAACGATGCTACGGAGGAGCTCATCCACTGCTGCACAGGCACTGCCCACCCCAGTGATCTGTGAACAGATAAGCACAGGGCACAGCTGTTTATTCAAATCTGTGCTCAAGCCAAAACAAAAATACAGACTATAATGTCGGAGAAATAAATAGAAGATATATGGCACATTAGCAATTATGTTCCTTTCTCAACTACGGCTTTTATAGGATAGACAGAATTGTAATAAATTACTCAAACTGTACTCTGACCAAGATTTGATACAAGTTTAGCATAACTTCAATACTCTCCTTCCAGAATAGATCCTTAGTGCTTGTCTTGACTTGGCCAGAATCATACAATCCCTACAGTGTAGAAGCAGGCCATTCAGCCCATCAAGTCCACAATGACCCTCCAAAGAGCATCCCAACCAGACGCAGTCCCTTACCCTATCACTGTAACCCTGCATTTCCCCATGGCCAATCCACCCAACCCACACATCTTTGGGCTGTGGGAGGAAACCGGAGCACCCAGAGGAAACCCACGCAGACATGGGGAGAACGTGCAAACTTCACACAGACAGTCGCCCAAGGGTGGAATTGAACCCGGGTCCCTGGCACTGTTAGGCAGCAGTGCTAACCACTGAGCCACCACATTGCCTAGCTGGCTTTGCTAGTCTACATCACAATTTGTAATGCGTTGTATAATTGGGGAGGCGATGGCCTGGTGGTATTATCGCTGGACTATTAATCCAGAGACCCAGATAGTGCTCCGGGGACCCGGGTTCAAATCCTGCCACAGTAGATGGTGGAATTTGAATTCAGTAAAATATCTGGAAGTAAGAATCTAATGATGACTGTGAATCCATTGTCGGAAAAACCCATCTGGTTCACTAACGTCCTTTAGGGAAGGAAGCTGCCATCCTTACCTGGTCTGGCCTACATGTGACTCCAGACCCACAGCAATGTGGTTGACTCTTAACTGCCCTCTGGGCAATTAGCGATGGGTGATAAATGCTGCCTGGCCAGCAACACCTTCATCCCATGAATGAATAAAGGAAAAGAAAAGTTATAGTGTCAGGTCAGAGATGTCCCATGGTGCAATGGTTAATATTCCTGCCCCGAGAGCCTGGAGGATCGGAGTTCATAGCCCCACCCTAGCACTTGCAGCCAAGCAATGAAAGTTGAATATCAGGTATTACATCCTTCCAGTATGTGCCAATGGCGGGCACAAAGGGTCACACAAGATTCCTGCTCAGTCAGGACTTGGATAAAAAGTTGGAGTCTCTCCCTTCACCTTCCATCACTTCAGAATAGAGTATGCACCTCAAAGTCAGACAACAGCCTAGCGTTATGATCACTGCACTGTTAATCCAGAGATCCCTGTGATGTTCTGGGAATGTGCCCTTTTGGCTTACTCCTACTCCTAGTTATTATGTAAAAGGCCAGAATGCGGTGGAGGAGTACAATATCTCAGGGGGTTGAGAGATTGGAGGAAATATAGAGATCGCGAGACAAGAGGCCATAAAGGATTTGAAAACAACGATGAGAATTTTAAAGATTATTTTTTCTTTATTCATTCCCAGGGCGAGGGCATCGCTGGCCATACCAGCATTTATTGCCCATCCTTAATTGCCCAGAGGGCAGTTCAGAGTCAACCACATTGCTGTGGGTCTGGAGTCACATGTAGACCAGACCAGGTAAGGATGGCAGTTTCCTTCCCTAAAGGACATTAGTGAACCAGATGGGTTTTTCCAACAATCAGCAATGGATTCATGTTATGATTAGACTCTTAATTCCAGATATTTATTGAATTCAAATTCCACCATCTACCATGGCAGGATTCAAACCCAGGTCCCCAGAATATTATCTGGGTGTCCTGATTAACAGTCCAGCGATAATACCACTAGGCCATTGCCTTCCTCATGGCATTGTGGGTCAACAGACACAGACAGATGAAGGAGAATGGATACAATCTGGGCATCAACAACCCAGCTTTGGATATAGTTCAGGGAAAATTGGACGAAGGGGCAATAGTGACTTCTTCAGTTAAGTAAAGCACAGCGATGGCTGTCAGCCGAAAACGAACACAGTTGGAGACAGGGCTAGCTGAACAGTACAGGGTGGAACCAAGTGGCCTGAGGGACAGAATGGATAAACGCTCAAACTCATCTTGAGGTCAAATAGGACAGGAACATCACAACGAGTCAGGCTCAGGCTCAGGCTCAGACAGTTACAAAGGAGCGAAATGGATCTAGTAACTAGTGAACAAAGGAAAACTCTCCAATTAAATCCTGCAGACATTTCAGCTCATCGAATAGTGGATATGGGATAGGCAGAAGGAAGAGTGGCCAGGTAATCTGCTTTCGGGAGGGGTGTGTATTCGCCAGGGCATTGGAAATAAACCCCCCCCACCGGCTTTTCTCATTCCAAAGGGGCAGCTTGGATTCCCCTGAAAGATAAGGGAGAGTTTGGGCAGTGCACATGCCTCTGGTACAGCACAGTGACTGTCACTGAGCAAATGATGGCGTGGGACTCGAACCGAGAACCGTGTGACTTTTTTTTATTCACTCGTGGGATGTGGGCGTTGCTGGCTGGGTCAGCATTTATTGCCCGTCCCTAGTTGCCCTTTGAGAAGGTGGGGGTGAGCTGCCTTCTTGAACCGCTGCAGTCTACCTGCTGTGGGTTGACCCACAATGCTATTAGGGAGGGAATTCCAGGATTTTGACCCAGCAACAGTGAACGAATGGTGATATATTTCCAAGTCAGGATGGTGAGTGGCTTGGAGGGGAACTTGGAGCGGGTGGTGTTCCCATGTATCTACTGCCCTTGTCCTTCCAGATGGTTCTGGTCATGGGTTTGGAAGGTGCTGTCTGAAGATCTTTGGTGAATTTCTGCAGAGCATCTCGTAGGTAGTACACTCTGCTGCTACTGAGCGTCGGTGGTGGAGGGAGTGGATGGTTGTGGATGTGGTGCCAATCAAGTGGGCTGCTTTGTCCTGGATGGTGTTAAGCTTCTTGAGTGTTGTTGTGGCTGCACCCATCCAGGCAAGTGGGGAATATTCCATCACACTCCTGATGTGTAGATGGTGGTCAGGCTTTGGTGAGTCAGGAGGTGAGTTACTCGCCACAGTATTCCCAGCTTCTGGCCTGTTCTTGTAGCCGCTGTGTCTATGTGGTGAGTCCAGTTGAGTTTCTGGGCAATGATAATACCCAGAATGTTGATAGTGGGGAATTCAGTGATGGTAATGCCATTGAATTCCAGTTTTTCTTGGGCTCCTTGATGCCACACTCGGTCGAATGCTGCCTTGATGTCAAAGGCTGTCACTCTCACCTCACCTCTGGAATTCAGCTCTTTTGTCCATGTTTGAACCAAGGCTGTAATGAGGTCAGGAGCGGAGTGGTCCTGGTGGAACCCAAACTGGGCGTTTCTGAGCAGGTGCTGCTCGATAGCACTGTTACTGACACCTTCCATCACTTTACTGATGATCAAGAGGAGACTGATGGGGCAGTAATTGGCCGGGTTGGATTGGTCCTGCTTTTTGAGTACAGGACATACTTGGGCAATTTTCCACATTATCGGGTAGATGCCAGTGTTGTAACTGTACTGGAACAGCTTGGCTAGAGAAGCGGCAAGTTCTGGAGCACAAGTCTTCAGTACTATTGCTGGTATGTTGTCAGGGCCCGTAGCCTTTGCAGTATCCAGTGTCTCCAACCATTTCTTGACATCACATGAAGTGAATCAAATTGGCTGAAGACTGGTATCTGTAATGTTGGGGACCACTGGAGGAGGCCAAGATGGATCATCCACTTGGCCTTTCTGGCTGAAGATTGCTGCGAATGCCTCAGCCTTATCTTTTGCACTCTGTGCTGGGCTCTTCCATCATTGAGGATGGGGATATTTGTGGAGCCTCCTCCTCCAGTGAGTTGTTTAATTGTCCATCACCACTCACGACTGGATGTTGCAGGACTGCAGAGCTTAGATCTCATCTGTTGGTTGTGGGATCACTTCGCTCTGTCTATCAATTGCTGCTTTCGCTGTTTGGTGTGCAAGTAGTCCTATTTGGTGGCTTCACCAGGTTGATACCTCATCTTCAGGTATGTCTGGTCCTGCTCCTGGCATGCCCTCCTGCACTCTCCATTGAACCAGGGTTGATCCCCTGGCTTGACGGTAATGGTTGAGTGGGGGATATACCGGGCCATGAGGTTACAGATTGTACTGGAGTACAATTCTACTGCTGTTGATGGCCCACAGCACCTCCTGGATGCCCAGTCTTGAGTTGCTAGATCTGTGCGAAGTCTGTCCCATTTAGCACGGTGATAGTGCCACACAACACGATGGAGGTTACTCTCAAATGTGAAGGTGGGACTTTGTCCTCAAGGACTGTGCGATGGTCACTCTTACCGATACTGTCATGGACAGATGCATCTGCAGCTGGCAGATTGATAAGGATGAGGTGAAGTATGTTGTTCCCTCTTGTTGGTTCCCTCACCACCTGCTGCAGACCCAGTCTAGCAGCTATGTCCTTTAGGACCCGACCTGCTCGATCAGTAGTACTGCTGCCGAGCCACTCTTGGCGGTGGACAGTGAAATCCCCCACCCAGAGGGCATTTTGTGCCCCTGCCATCCTCAGTGCTTCCTCTAAGTGTTGTTCAACATGGAGGAGTACTGATTCATCAGCTGAGGGAGGATGGTATGTGGTAATCAGCAGGAGGTTTCCTTGCCCATATTTAACCTGAGAGGCGACAGTTTGCTATTGGCTGACACATATTTAACCTGAGAGGCGACAGTTTGCTATTGGCTGACACATATTTAACTTGAGAGGTGACAGTTTGCTATTGGCTGACATATGGCTCTCACATAGAGGAGCGGGCTGAAGGGCCATTTCTGAGTTAACTCTATGAGTGAAACCTGGGTTAGGCTCGTGGTGAGGAGCTTATACAAACTGCCAGCGATCACGAGATTGGACTGATGAAAATGCGGCAAAGGAAGAGAGGGAGAAATAAAAGTGACACTGTTGTGAAATGACTCACCCTTAGCCCCGTGATATCACCTTCGAGGGGTAGAATGGAAACCTGACCCGTCCCAGCCAGGAAGTCTTGGTAATATTCGTGTAGGAATCGCAGTTTGCTGGGCTCTATCCCGATCACAAAGTCGTCAGGGACAGCATTCGCCAGGAAGTCTTCCACGCGTTTCTGGTTTTCTGCTCGGCAGCCTTCGAGGGAGATGAAGGAGACTTGGTCACCAACATCAGCTACACGAGCTTCACAGCATTTCAGCGAGGATAGGAGCTTACCCCAGTCAGGGGAGGTAAGAGCATGTAGCTGCCGGTCTGAGATCGGTACACTGAACCGGCAAAGCTGCTGCTCAATCACCATGGATACCGCCCGTGCGGCAGCGAGCGACGAGGCACTGACCGTCATCACGCTGCCCGAAATGGAATAATAGGTGGACAAGCTCTTCTGGAGCAGCATGTGCCGTAGGTAATCCCGAATGTCAGCCCTGGACAGGAACAGTGCTTGCTCCTCACTGATTGGGACGTCCACTTCAGCTATGTTGCTGAGGAATTCCAGGATCCGGCTCTTCAGCTTCTCAACCCGAACAGCATCCATTCCGCAAACACGGATGGAGTTGTCGTCGACGACGACGCTGACGGAAAGTTCAGGACACTCGGCCCTCAGTTCGCCCAGGAAGCTGCTGGAACGTAGGATATCCAGCTTCACTTTGTCGGCAACGTTGACCAGGCTCGTCACTTCTGCCATCTCCTCAGCTTTGGTTTCTACTGCCATTCCCTGGTCCCATTCCTGACCCTGACTCTGACCCGGTTCCTGATCCGAGCTGGAAGGCTGCAGGAAGTCGTAGTAAGGCTGAACGAGCAACTCATGTTCCTGCAGCTTCTGACTCTTCTGAAGAACCCGATCAACAGCTGAAAGACAGATAAACGATAGACCTCAGTTATGACACCCAAACTCACCGACATTAAAACAAAGGCCCCCCTCACAATTTGGGAATAAGCCAGCCTGTGATTGTCCCACTGATAAACCTGGAACCGCACTCCGATCCCAAATGAGGAAAGGCCATTTAAACTCTGCCAACGTCATGCTCCATACAACAACAAAAACAGAAGTTGCTAGAAAAGCTCAGCAGGTCTGGCATCGTTTGTGAAGGAAAAAAACAGAGGAAGGCTCTGAACAAGGGTCACTGGACCCGAAACGTTAACTCTGTTTTCTCCTTCACAGATGCTGCCAGACCTGCTGAGCTTTTCCAGCAACTTTGTTTTTGTTCCAGATTTACAGCATCTGCAGTTCTTTCGGTTTTTTATTTGGTATCATGCTCCATACCAGTCTCATCCCAGCTTGCTGCATCGCGTTACTATATCCTTTGACATCTGTTTCACCAGTTTCCATGTAAAATGTTCCTACAATATTTACCCCCTGCTATTCCATGTGGTAGACAGCTCCACATTCTCACCACACTCGGAGCAAAGAGGTTGTTCCCGGAATTCTACTTTGGCTTCGTTAGTGACTATTTTATCTATTGTTTTCTTTCATTTCTGGGTCATATCTGCCACCAGCTGGGCCTGTATTTACTGCCCATCCCTCCTGATGATCCCTTTAGCCCTGAGAACTATATCAAACTCCTTCTTGAAAACATTCCATGTTTTAGTTTCAACCACTTTTTGTGGAAGTGAATTCTACAGGCTCGCTATTCTCTGGATGAGGATATTTCTCCTCATCTCAGTCCTCAAAGGCCTCTGTGACCCCTAGTTCTGGGCTCCCCCTCCATGAGGAACATCCTTCCTGGGTTTACCCTGTCTAGTCACAGAATTGTAGAATCCTTACAGTGACCAATCAGGCCATTCAGCTCATCGAGTCCACACCAACCCTCCAAACAGCATCCACACCATCCCCATAACCCTGTATTTCCCACTGCTAATCCACTCAGCCTGCACATCCCTGGACACTATGGGTAATTTCCCACGGTCAATCCACCTAACCTGCACATCTTTGGAGTGTGGGAGAAAACCGCAGCACCCAGGGGAAACCCATGCAGACACAGGGAGAATGTGCAAACTCCACACAGACGGTTAGTTACCCACTGATGGGATTGAACCTGGGTCCTCTGGCGCTGTGAGGCAGCAGTGCTAACCACTGAGCCGCCGTGCCGTCCCAAAGCTGTTAGAAATTTTATAGGTTTCTGTGCGATCTCCCCTCAGTCTTCCAAACTCCAGTGAATATAATCGCAACAGATCCAGTGTCTCTTCATTCATCAGCCCTGCCATCCCAGGAATCATTCTGATAAACCCACATCGCACTCCCTCCACAGACACAACATCCTCCCTCAGGTAAAGAGACCAAACCTGCGCACAGTACTCTGGATGTGGTCTCACCAAGGCCCTGCACAAGCTATCCCTGCTCTTGTACCTGAATCCTCTTGGAAGTCCAATCTCTCCCTCCTCCCCCTCCTTCTAGATTGCGAACGTTCTGCTATCCCTTCCCTTCCCGATGAGGCCAGACGTCACTGTGCAGGAATCCACAAACACAAAGTTTCATCTTCCAACCAAATATATTTAAGTTTTATTAATGCACGGGAGGTGGGTGTCGCTGGCTAGGTCAGCATTTATTGCCCGTCCCTAGGTGCCCCTTAAGGAGATGGTGGTGAGCTGCCTTCTTCATATGCTGCAGTCAAAACGGTCAGCGAATGTGGAGTGGGATTAGATTTGAAGGACAATGACCTCCGGCTAACGTGCCCCCTCCTATATCCCGGGTAAGGACACACTGCACTTCCTGTACACAATGGGAGATCTTTCCTGATTGGAAAATGACCGACTGAGCATGCTGGTCATTTACCTAAACTGTGGGAAGTCCTGTGTGAGGCTTACTGCTGAGAAACCTTTGGAAGATTAATGTGTGACCTAATTGAGTTGCTTAAGATGATTAAAGGATTTCACAGGGGAGGTGGGGTGGGGAGGGGGATGGGGGAAAAGAGAGCTCGAGACAGAGAATGAGAGACCTTTCTCCAGCTGGAAGAGTCCTTAGAAAGGGAGCCATCCCTTAGCAGGAGAGTTCAGCTGCTCTAGGATAGTATCAGGAAGAACAAAAAGGGAAAGCCAGTTTTGTTTTTGAGCACCATTCACCTCAGAAATTTGCTTTCCAGCCAATAAATTACTTTGGGGTGTGGAAACAGTTTGGATATAGCAGCTGAGATAGTAGGAACTGCAGATGCTGGAGAATCTGAGATAACAAGGTGTAGAGCTGGATGAACACAGCAGACCAAGCAGCATCATAGGAGCAGGAAGGCTG